CCGCCCCGCCCCGTTGTAGGTGAGACTTGGCGGGGGGGGGGGGGGGCTGGGGACTTTAAAAATTAAAAAAAATATTATTTTTACATTTACTTTATTTAATATTATTTTTCAAAACTGTGCGGGTTTTTTTTTTTTCTTACTATACTTTAATTGCTATCACTTGCAAGCTCCCCATGTGATAGCAGATTGGTGGTGACAGGTACTCTTTAAGGTGATGCTGGGGGTCCAAAAGACCCCCAGTGTCACCTGTCACACTCTAAATAAGCTATTGAAGTGCAGAGCCCCAACAATGATAGCTATGGGACCGGAAGTGATGTAATCTGCATCGCTCCCGATCCCATAGTGCGGGAAGGAGAGCGGTGAACGGACGTTCGCCGCTCTCCTCCCCAGCTTCCCACCGACACCCAAGATGCCAGTCCCTGTAGGAGGGGCAGCGGATCCCAGGAAACACGGTGGGGGTGTCGAGCTGGGGGGATTGATTTGCCAGAATCGCTTCTATTGTAAAGCCGATAGTCGGGTGTACAAATGTAAACAGAGTCCTGGTGGTCTGTTTAAATGGCCCACTGCCAGTGGCGTACTATGTACGCCGCTGGTCGTGAGGGAGTTAAACTTGTCTACCTACTGCTTATGACCATTATGCATGTCCTAGTGAGATGAAAACTCCTGCTGCAGCTCACTTCACCTGAGTTGACAAGCTGATCCATTAATTTACAGTAATGTGAAAAAGTGAGTTCACCTCATGGAAATTGTTGTCTTGTTTTCACATATTTAAACAGACGAATGTCAGCTCTTCATTCATACAGTGCTTACAGGTAAACACAAGACAATATGCCTTTTCATCAGTTATTCAACAAAAATATCAATGATGTAATGGTTTACTCATGAAAAGGTAAGTACACTCTTGACTTCACAAGCTGGTTTTGCCCCTGTAGCAGAAATTACTTTTTTGGGGCGTTTTTGAAAACTTCCCGCCAGTGGGTACATTGCATGAACAGCCTGTTTTGATTTTCCCCACAACATTTTAATGAGATTAAAATAAGGGCTTTGACTAAGGCAGTCCATGATACTCCATTACGTCTTCTTGAGGCATTGCATCACCCACATTTTGTGGACAAACAACTCTATATTTGATTCATCCATCCACAGCACTTGGTTCAGAAGGACGGATCTTTGCCTATATGTTTAATAGCAAGTTGTAACCTTGCTCTAATGTTCTTCTTGGACAGCAAATACCTTTTCCTGGCACAGCTCCCATGCAGATTGAATTGGTGCTGATTGTAGATGCATGCATGTTAACACCAACTGTTACAAGAGTTACCTGCAGATCCCGTGATAACATTTTGGGGTTCTTGGGTTGACAAGGGCACAAATTAGCCTTTTTTACAGGTTTTTTGATGGCTAAAGATTCAAATTAAATTCTTTGACTTGGGTGAGCATTTGATGCTTAAGTAGTAAACACAGAAGTAATCCGACAATTCTCTTGGGACCTGGGGATTAGTCTTGGCAGGGCATTTTTGGCCAATTCAGCTCTGCAGCAACAGATCTCCTTTAATAGTGATCAGTTGTTGGCTGCAATAGTACTGCAGGGAGAGGCTGTACAGTTCATATGACGTTACATCCCTTCCAGTGTAAATACAGAATTATAGTCTATACATCCGCATGAGTAGCCGCTATGCCAGCGGCGTTCTGAAACTGAAGTGGATCACAATTACACTATTTCAATTTTGTGCAATTTGTTCAGTTATATCACTGTAGTCTCTGTTTGAATGAAGATCCAATGTTTCTCTGTAAATAGTGAACAAGGCATATTATGAGTTCTGATTTTACTTGCTTCATCGTCGGAGACTAAGAGAGAGTTAACATAACATACAACTAGCATTTTTAGGAAGTCGGCAGTGACGGCCCTTCTGTTTCTTTCATGAGAATGTATGAATTTTCACCTGGCTCAGGTGCGCATTTTCTTGTAAAGACATTAAAAGTTCCCCAATTAGGCTCCAAAGAGTGGCTTTTAACTGTTGGTATATTTATTGTCTCTTTGTGTACGTTACAGGTATCTCCTGCACAGCCCACTCCAAGCACAGGGGGTAGACGAAGGAGAGCAACAGATGAAGATCCAGATGAACGCCGACAGCGCTTCCTAGAGAGAAACAGAGCAGCTGCATCCCGTTGCCGACAGAAGCGTAAAGTTTGGGTGTGCTCTTTGGAGAAGAAGGCAGAAGAACTTAATAGTCAGAATTGTCACCTAAGTGTAAGTCTGGAAAGGAGCCGAGTTCACTGCTATTGTATGTACTGTTTAGTCTTTGTGGCAGAGTGTCTGCAATGTAATAACATTGTGTTTCCACCTGTAGAATGAGGTGACTATTCTGCGAAATGAGGTAGCCCAACTAAAGCAGCTGCTTTTGGCACACAAGGATTGTCCCGTAACTGCCCTGCAAAAGAAGAATCAGGTGTATCTTGGTGAGTATGGCACCAAATGCTTTCTCCCACCCTTAATAAATTATTTGACATTTACTAAAGTAACAAATTATTTCTGATATGTAGGCATGCATTCAAAGAAATAGGTTGCTGTGGCCATTCGGATTGACATTGACTTTGTAATGCTGATGCACTAATTTAGACCTCTCAAGCACTTCTGTGCTGCTCCTTCCTCTATCGCATCTGGCAAAACAAAAAAAATTCCTCTGGGTATGGGGGAATATCCACTCTTGATGCAGTGCTCTGGCTTGGTGGCCAAGCTCTAGGCCAAAGCAATGTCACATGACAGAAGGGATGACATCACCACTGCCTCTAGTTTGCAACACCTGACAATGGGTATTTTGATGGCAGCTGTGATACATTAAGGTGTTGCCCCGAATCTCTGGAGAGGTGAGTATCAATGAGTTGAGGGCTGCTAAATACAGACCTAGTCACTTTGCCCTTAATGGGAATGTGGGGAGTTGCATTTTTTTATGTCACACAGTTTTAGCCCAACTGTATATACCCATATTCTCAGTAGAAAATACTCTGTAATTAATGTTAGTGCACACAAATACAGTATAAAACCTGGTCTCCATCATTAAAAAAAAAAGCAGGCCTAGAATGGCAGTTTCCATATCTCTATGCTCTCAGGTTCACGTTAAAGGAAACTTGTTCTGAGAAAAAATAGAGGCTGACAAAGCTGATACCTCCTTCTGAAAATGCTAGTCAACTGGCAGTCTTCCTGATGGAGTGGATTCAACTCTCAGCCCTCGTTCACACCTGAACGTTTTGTAGCGCGTTCTACGCTCGACGAACGCTCTACAAAACGCTCAAAAATATTAATCCCATTGTATTCAATGGTCTCGTTCCCACCTTGGCGTATTTCCGCCCGTCCCTAACGCGCTACAAAACGGCCCACGCCTGAAAAGGTACATGTACTACTTTGGGCCGTTTTGTTTGCGCGTTTCCATTGGGATACAGCCAAGTAGCCTTCGGAAACGCGCGTTTGTCGCACAACTTTTTTAAAGTTGACAGACGCGTGACAGACGCGCATATGCAATACGCCTAGGTGTGAACGAGACCTCAGAGGCACTTGCCTAAAACAAGTTGCAGATAAGGAGTACTGACATATTTCAACACAGCTGCAAGTGGCCAGCAGATGGTGCATCTCAGCCATGCTTGTTTCAAGTCAGTGACCCCTAAAGTAATGAAGCCAGTGGCAGCTAGGCAACTAGTATTTTTAAAAGGAGGTTACCAACAACTGAACCCCATTTCTTAATCATTCATTAAGCTACAGAGAGTAGAAGTAATTCTGAGACAACTGGGTTATGTTGCTACTCACAGGAAATGAGCAACACTGTTAGTCATCCAGGTATAACCCTCCTACTCCCATCATACTTCAGTGTTTTGTTAGTGTTGTAGAAGAATGGACATCTTCACTCCACTGAAAAAAGCAAACCCCTTTCAGTAGACTTTTTCTCCATTTTAGCAAGGGCTTGTTTCTTCAATATTTCTTTAATATCTTAGCCAGTAAAGCAAAGTTCCACTTTTTCCTGTCAAGGTGCACGCCACTAGACCAGTTAGTGCCTCTTGAGCTTTTCAGCATCAGGAATTTGTTTCTCAGATTTTCAAGGCTGCCTGCCCCTCTGTTGGACATCCCATCTGCCTCAGAATTACTTCTACCTTGTGTTCTTTAATGAAAACAGGATTTTTGACTTCCCGTAAAATCCTTTATGTAGTTTGTCTCCTCCTCCTACAAGGCCATAAGGTAGCTACCCGCTTCCAGTTTTTTCCTTCTGTATTTTTGACAATCCATCTAAGAATGCGGCACCATCATTTTGCTCTCTTATGGTCACAGCACTAGTTCAGAGCTAAGAACTCTGATGGGGAGATCTCAGCAGAAATATAAAAAGCCAGCAACCATGCAAAGGTGAAATTGCAGCTTTGGGAAGTGCTCGACTTTAAAAGCTTTGGGAGAAACTCTTGTCCACGGTGTACTTGAAGGAAAGTAAGGAGCAGTTTATTACAAGGTGATTTTAAATAATGTGATGTTGTAAACCCTCAAAAGATTGCATAGCTCCTCCACAGTACACAAACGGGGAATCCGGGTGCTCATCGGTTAGAGCTCGTCCACACTCCTGCATTAGCTTCCATCAAAATAGTAGCACATCCAGCCGCACTCTATATGTCGCTGGAAACATCATTTATTAGAGGTAAACAACAAAAAATAGAGATAGATGGGGCTTTTAAGGTGTCAAAGAATGCAATTAAGGATAATATAACATAATAATGACAAAATTACATAAAAAAATAACATGTATTTATTAAAAGATTACATGATCCACATGATACAAAATATATACCCACTAGCATCCATGATCAAACAGCGTAAAACCTTCCTGGATACAAGCATGATTGATACAATAATTTTATTTTAACATCAATTTCCTTATAATAAATCATTTTATAAATAGTCATAATCAGAGTAGGATATACTGCGAGTCTGTACTGCGTCCAGCCTTCTATGCATTTCGCCGAAGCTTCATCAGGAAGATGGAGGTAACATAAATACCATAAGTGGGACATTAGTGGTGAGTGGATGCACACTGCCGGGGAATCATCCCCAGAAACAGTCAAGGACAACAGAGAGGCTAGAGAGAAGACGACGGCGATCAGATATAAGAAGCGCAATATCTGCCTCAGCTTACGCATCAAAACGCCAGCTGCATACGTCACGCCGATGTTGGACGGTGTGTGTCAGTGCAGCGGGAATCTTTACAGAGAGAAGGGAGTCATGGCTGGGATCGATTAGGGAAGCTGGCGTTTTGATCCACTCACCACTAATGTCCCACTTATGGTATTTATGTTACCTCCATCTTCCTGATGAAGCTTCAGCGAAATGCATAGAAGACTGGACGCAGTACAGACTTGCAGTATATCCTACTCTGATTATGACTAGAGCTGCAACAACGATTCGATTTAGTCGATTATTCGGCTATCTATTACCTTGCCTGTTCGCGGCTCCACACTCAAGCCCCGCGCGCAGCGCACGCTACGCCCACCAAACGCGCACGCCGCGGCGGCCCAGCTCCCGGCTCTCCTCCAATCCCGGCGCTCCTCACATCTAGCCGGGCCGATCACATGACGGGTGCCGGGGATGTGAGCACGACGGGTGTCAGCCGGGGGACGGAGACTATGGCTGGGGACGAGCCGGCATCCAGGCTAAACCTTTCAGCAGAAGACATGGAGGGAATGTTCAGACAGTAAGTGCCCCACCCTCCCCGGAGCCTGGGACCCAACACTGTGCACCCCAACCCACCATCATACCCATCCTCTGCACCCCAACCCACCATCATAGTCATCCTCTGCACCCCAATCCACCATTATACCCATCCTAGTCCAGGGAGGTTTTATGCTGTTTGATCATGGATGCTAGTGGGTATATATTTTTTATCATGTGGATCATGTAATCTTTTAATGTTAAATGTTAAACATGTTAACATGTTTGATGTTAAATCTTTTTAAATGTTATTTTATTATGTAATTTTGTCATTATTATGTTATATTATCCTTAATTGCATTCTTTGACACCTTAAAAGCCCCATCTATCTCTATTTTTTGTTGTTTACCTATATTAGGGGTGTGGTGTCCTTGTTCATGTAGTGATTCAAAACCTTTTGTTTCATTTATTAAAGATCACACAGTTACACAAAGTCCTGCCTCCTGTCCGTCCTGCTAACGTGTTTCACCCAATCCTGGTCTTAATTGTAGAGTTGCACGATTAAGCCCAGGATTGGGTGAAATGCGCTAGAAGGGCGGGACTTTATGTATCTTTGTGATCTTTAATAAAATAAGTTTTAGCAACATATGTAGTGCGGTTGGATATTTTATTGTTTTGCCCGCAATTAATGTGATGTTAGAGAGACTGTCGTTTGGCCCATCCAAGGCAAAGTGACAAAGTTTGAAAATAGGCCGTCTCCCAGGCAGTTATATTTACCGAACCATGCTGCCACTCTGCCTCCCCACACTGTTTGAGTCCTAGCTAAAAGAGCAGGGTTTCCGAGTATGAGGGAGCACATGATCTCCCCCATGTGACAGTGCTCAGACTTGAGCAGTCAATTACCAGGCCTGAACCCTGTCATGCAAAAAGCAAACGGAGCGCTACCTCCATCTGTTACAAATGTACTCACAAGTGTACGTTGAACAGAGCGCAGTAATGTGCATGGACTGCTCTCACAAAGGAACCTTTAAAATTGGACTGTTATGTGCATGGGTACTTCATGTCTTTCCCCTGTTTAAGCTCTGGCACTAGCCAACACCGACTCTTAAGGTGCCCATACACCTTACGACCATCGCAAGACTTTTGTCTAGCGATGGTCGTACGCTTATTGAAAGCTCGTACAATCTGCCCACCTTGGACGGGCAGATCGTACTTGCCATCATCGAAAGCCCGCCCGCTGAGGGGCGGGCTTACGATGACCGCAATGCAGAACGGGCAGTGTGCGCGGGCCCACATCGGCCCGTTCCGCAGCTATCAGACGAGCAGGCTAGAAACCCGCCGACAATCGTACGATTCTCGGCGGGTTTTCGAGCATGCTGGTTCGACAAAAGACGTGCGACCGTACAGTAGAAACGGTCGCACGCCTTCCATACACTGTACGATTCTCGTACGATCGCGGGATTTCCCGCGATTCTCGTACGAGTATCGTACAGTGTATGGGCACCTTTAGACAGGCTGGTATGCTGAATCCATATGAGGGGTACTAACTGCACATGCTGTCCCTTTGCCATGATTAGGCATAGTGACTGTGTCTCTTTAAAGTATCCATAAGCATCAATTATGTTTTGAAACCTGTGCAGTATGCAAGGTACATTCATTGTTTTATTTTTATTTGTTGTAGGTGCTATATTGTAAGAACTCTTTAACTTGCTTTCTTCCAGAAAACCTAAATGATGGCTGTGATGGAACAGGCTCCCCAGGCCCAGTCAGCCAGCACAGTTCATTGTCCTCTGCCTCTCCTAATGGTCTGCGTTCTCCAGCTGAACACATGGCTACATCAGTGCTCACACAGATGGCCAGCCAAAGGACAGACGGCCACAGTCAGATCCTACAGTCACATGTCATCATGTCTCCACAGTCGCAGGCGGCCAGCAGATGATGTATCTCAGCCACTGGACCTAGAACTAACCAATGGGATGCCTCAGCCCCAGAGACTGAGCATAATAACTAAGCCCCATTACAGAAGGGGTGGATATGGATTATAAATATATATACATATATATATTTGTTTTTAAAGTTCGGTAAAGGGTGTTTCGGAAGCTTTTTTTTTTTAGTCCACAGATACCAAGTGATTAAAGCACTAACGTTGAAAACTCATCAGGTCAAATCACTAACACCATCATACGTACAAGAACAGTATGGGCTTCATGCACTAACAGACATGGACACACACCCTACCGCACACAATGCAGCCTATGCAGTAAACCTTACTAAGGTTTACTATTACAGTGCCAGTGGATGAGTTCTTCCTCAGTGCTCCTTGTCTGAGCACTCTGCCTCCTCTCTCCTGGCTAATTATTGTAGCCCTTTTATTATAAAAACTCCTTACATATTTCCTTTTTGATTCTTACTTTTTTGGGAAAAGGCAGTGCCATCCAATTCTTATCTGTCCATGGCATTTCATTGTTGCTGGAAACTCACTAGTGCATTAGAGAAAAAATGGCCTTCTTGCTCTGTTGCCTTCCAGACTGTTCACTTTACGCACCCGTGTTGGATAAAGAACCCAGAAATCTTGTTCCGAGTCCTAAAATAGGCCTGGGGCTGGAGGGACCTGAGACACAGTGTGAACAAGAACTTCAGGGAGAAGCTTTCCTTTCTCCAACTGCGGGAGGAGACCCAGGAACAATAATAGAACTGCCCGAGCAGCCGAGTGATCAAAGTTGTGAATGGTTGTATCTCCAGCAAAGCAGCAACTGAAGGATGAAAAAAGATCCCCGTGTCTTCCACGGCTTCTTCGATGCTGCTGGTATGCTTTAAACCCGAGGCTTGGGTCTTTTGCAGCCTGGTTCAACACTAAATATAACCAGCCACGTAAACCTCTTCAGAGCCTTATTTCAGTCTTCCAGCAATCCTTGTCTAACAAGTGACTTGTAAACGCCAGTGTAAGATGCCTGTGGCATGGAGGCTCCCTGTTGAGAGTTGTTGAAGATCTAGCTGTGTCAAGACTGTGGTGGAGAATTGAAGTCAATTATATAGAAGTGACTTCTTCCTCTATGTACTATCCATACTTTGTTCAAGAGATGCCTTGAAATGTGGTGTCCCCTTGGCAATGGCCTTTTTTTATTGCCCAGTGAAACGGCCAGAAGAAGCTTCTCAGTGTCGATTAGAGGGCTGAATATATGTGCCTCTTACATTGTTCTCTGTAGTCTTTTTTTGAAGATCAAGTCCGTGCATCAACTACAGTACTTTGATTGCTTTTGCTTAAAGCTCTTTCAGGTATTGTTCTATGCAGTGATATAGAACTGATAGGCATGACTCCCTTCCTTCCATACTACAGTATGGCATGCTACATGGCGACTTTTCTTGTAGACTTCATTATGCTTTAATACATTTACAGAGCATTGCGGGATATGTCCAATTCAAGAGTTCACAAAGCAACGTTAACAGTTGTGTCATCTGAACATTTTGCTCAGTCAAGAGGTTTACAATGTTATGTGGAGCGAAGCATTGATAATGAGACCAGGGCTTGTCGGTAACCTCCCCTGCAGTACAGTGTGATCAAGTTCTGTGAAAGAGGGGACAATTGTTTCCAATGGCTGACCATCTCATTTGCTTTTGTAAGCATTGCAGTTCTTGAAACAGGCACACAATGTACTAATCAAGTTGGGACACACTACACTGTCACCCTTATTTACAAGTAAATTCATATGTTTATTTTGTGATTGAAAAGAACTGATGATATAACAAAAATGGCTATAGATGAAATGGTGTAATTTGTGTTGAGGGCTTCTCCATGCAGCTGCACATATCTTGTATTGCCAGTTCATTTTTCACTTGAAACAAATACAAGCTTTCTGTTAGCAACTGCTTTCATGGCACAGTAAATAAACCAGCCCTGCTTACTACTGATTCTTGTGCTTGCCATATCAGCTGTGTGTCGGCTGAAAATGGATAATCACAAAACAGTAATAAGGGAAGGAGCTCTGTGAGCTGCTACTTTGTCAAGGGATCACTTGCACCTTTTTTTTTTTTTTTAACAAAGTACTTAAATGCAAGAAAACAAATCTGCCTGGTGAATAGACACTTTAATGTCCCTCCTCAGGGTAGCAAAGGGGTTAAAGCAACACTCTCCCTAAAGTAAGGAACTATGTTTACGATGTAGCTTTTAGAATTAAGCGTTTTTCAGCAAGTTCTACTTTTCACCTTTTTAAGCAGTCAATGACTACATACATTGCTGTTTGCCTTAATAACACAGGTAATATATGGAGATCCCTTGCCATTAGCAAACCAGTCATTAAAGCCCCCATGTTGCTTTTTAAATATGTAGATATGTTAAATTTTTTCATTTCCTTGACATTTTATGTGACAACGTATATTTTTTATTGACCGAAACTAAAAATAAATCTAATAGATTGGTTTTACATCTTGTATACTTATACAAAACCTCAAAAAAAATAACAAAACAATGAATGCACCCCCAAGAATGCATTAAAAAATGCATAACAAAAAGGACACTTTAATGATTAAATGCTTCTGTCCCTTTAAAAGAAAGTATTTGCATATATTGTTCTAATGGAGGGCTACAGGCTTAATATGTCTGAACTTGGCCAAACATAGACAAATCTTTTGTAAATTGCATCTGATCTCATAGTTAATGTTGGGAACACGAGCTATTGAACTGACTTGAATGATCCTGCATTATGACAAAATGTATTGACATTTTCAATGTACTGCAGGTTTCCAGACATGGGATGCTCGTTCGTATGTGTCCCAGCAATTCCAGCACACCATTTTCTTACCTATAAACTTTAGAGGGCAGAACTTACTGGTGAATTGTTCTCTCTTCGTGCCATACTTGCATGCATTCTTACAAGAGCTGTGAACTGCAATTCTGAGCTGATCGCTGTATTGACCTTGGAGAACAGCAAGGGACCTAGTAAATATTTCCATCCTATACAGTGAAGGATTCATCAAAGCTGTCCTAGGGGTACCTGTCTTAGCCAATAGAATTTTCAGGCATTGGTCAACTGACATTTAATGTCCATTTGTATGTTAAAATAGAATACCAATTTTTACTATGGTGATTTCAGACAATATGAGTGTCCCAAACACTATGTTCAAATATATATGGTATTAAATAAATGCATTTTAGCAGTGAGGTGTATTACAAGGGACACAGGCATATTATCTGCAGGGTCTGCACAAATGCACACGCAAATAAAACTTCAGACACAGACTGGGTGTGTCTGAGGGGCAGCACTTGTATAAAAGAGCCCTAATAGTACCTGTGGCTGCGCCTATTGAGGGAGACCTGCAGTGAGGGAACCTCCACCCACTGAGGGCTAAATACAGTGTGCTGTACACTAGGAGTCAGACGATAACATTTTTTCGGAACCAATACTGATTATTGGCCACCTTTCAGGCTGATCAGCAATATCCGGTACCGATATTCTGTTAACATCTAGATGCGCCAGCAGCTGAATGTAAACAGCAGGCAGTCACCTGATATCAGCCAACCCCCACCCCATTCATCTGCCGGCAGCAGGATTCCGCATCCCGCAGCTGAATGCACACAGCGGGCAGTGGAATAGCTAGCCTGCTATTGGCTATTGCAATAGCACTTGCCTGCTGTCAATCGGCAGAGGAGGTCCTGAGGGAGAAAGTTCTCCTTCAGGTCCACTCTTCTGCTGATGGGCAGTGCAATAGCCAGCCTGCTATTGCAATTTGAAATAGTCAATAGCAGGCTGGCTGTTGCTTCCCCTGCTATCTGCTGTTTTTATGTTTTTTGTTTTTTATTCTGACAGCGGCCGGCTCCAAGGCTGCTGGCTCTGTTCCTACATAGACTTACTGACCGGCTCCTTCGATCAGCTGATTGAGGGATGCTGGCCCGTCAGCGGTAATATCAGTACGCTTTACTGATAGCGATAATTTTAAAAGGCGCGAATATCGGGATACCCGATAAGCGGTCGATCCCTACCGTACACACTGAAAAGGCTGATGCAGAGAGTATGCATTTTCTTGCATTTATCATCTACATGGAAGGAATGTTGTATATTGCCCAGCTTCCTCATTGTGGTTCTTCTCCAATATATGCAGCAGTATTTATTACAATGATAAATAACAGTACAGATCTGATAAAAGCTATGTGTTTGTGCAGGGCCGGTGCTAGGTTTCCTGCCTACACAGGCAAGGTGGATTTTTGCGCCCCTCCCCGACCCCCTGTAAAAACAGGGCATTTTGACAAGTACTAGTACTTGTCAAAATGCCCCGATGTTTGCGCTATGTTTTTTTTGGTTTTTTTCACTTACCTTCGGCACGGGAGAGCAGCTTTCCGCCCTCACCCTGCAGCGCCGTAAGGCGGCCGCCTGACTTGCCTTGCGGTAGCGCCGGGCCTGTGTTTGTGTTCCCTAGAGGTTGCCCGGTTTTCTCATGAGTGCGAGCGAAGGAAGACCTCTATGCTGATCTAAAGCTACACCCACACCAGCTATGCAAAAGGAAGGGTCTCATTTAAACGGAGTGGTACCATAAGCTGAGAAATTGGGACCTATAACATTTACCTATCAAGAATGTCTATATACACGTTATAAAGCAGGCGCAAGCCATAAACTGAATGCAGCCCTAGCTTCTCCTCCAGCACTATGACTTTGCACATACAGACGCTACAAGGGGCTGCACTGTACATGTTCCTTATGCTCAATGAGACCCCCTTTGACTTTGGAGGAGGAAGGGAATGCTTAGCTTCATTGAATAGTACACGTCAGTACCTAGCACATGATTTGCTTTATGCTGTGTCCTGTTCTTGTATTTTACTTGCAGCCACTGACCTACATCAGTTTCTTTAGGCTAGGCATATAAAACTTATATTTAGGGCCATATGTGATTTTATGAATTTTAATGGAACAAAGCCCCAGCTGTTCTAAAGTTGAAGGCTATGCTCCCGTACATATTTTGCAAATACTTCAGGAAATGTTTTATGGCTCATTTTTGAGATACAATGTTATAAGTTGCAGTTGTTTCTATAGTTAGAGCTATTATTTTGTGTTGTCCTCAGTAGACATTATGTGGCCTCTTAAAGCATGATTCCACTCAGTTCAGTCCACTGTTTCCTTAACGTTTGACATGCCTGCTGTAGGAACTTTTTGGCTGTCACTGCACCCCCTGGTGTCCTCTCCCAGTACAGCTTTTTAAAAAGCCGGTCAATGTACCTGTCAAATTCAAACACATACTGGCTGGA